TTCACAGAGCGAGCGTGTGTGGGGACTTCTCACTGCCACGGACCCTTGATGCATGCTCCCCGCGCTCCAGTGGTCCCGTGTCAGAAGGCGGAGTTTTCGAAAGGAGGCCGCCAAAAATAAAAGGCAAAGAGACGGGATCGGCTGCAGCGGTTTCCCAAAGGAGGAGGGAGTGTGCATCGGTCTGGTAACAAACAGAGAATGTTTTTTAATTATTTATATCACAAAAATCTGTGTTTTATCTAGGATATTTTCTGAATATTCTTTGTAAAATGCAGATTTTTTTTCCACAAAACATTAGGATTCTTTGTTATATTCTGAAATTTGTTTGTTTAAGTAGGTAAAAATATATATATACATGTAGCTAAAAGCATTACACTAACATTTACATACTTTAAGCATTAGGAGGTTATTTAGCCCAATTCCCAGCAGCAGACAGAATATTAAACTGTCTCAAGATTTCATGGTTTTTCCCACATTCTTTGGCTATTAATTTAATTTCCCAGGTCACATAGATAATCTTTGATCATTGAAACAAGTATTGAGTTAAAATAACCTTGAGTTAAGGAAAAAACCTCATTTGGCAGAAGCTGGGCTTGGTAGTACAGTGAAATTTTAGTGTAATGTGCTCTTGTGGTAATGGAAAGGGGAAAGGTAATCTGGATATTTCTGCAAAGGAAAATAGGTGTGTACTTAACAACTTAGACTCTGATCAGTTTTTTAAAAATATAAGAGCAAAAAAGAATTAACCTAAATGTTTTAAGTGTCCTTGAAAATGTAGTAATAAAGTATATGAAGCTCCTTTTTTTCATTTTGCTCTGTGACTGGTTTAAAGGTAAGTTTGTTACGTTGTTGGTAGATTTTGCCAGGCTTCTCCCAACAGAGTAGAAGTGATTTGGCCTTGTAACTTAACAGTGGTTACCTCTTTCTTTTGAAAAGAATAGTACTGGAATTTGCCAGTCTGAAGACCAATCTTGGTGCAACTCCTGTCAGTATATTGGTTAAAATACAGAAGAGGCAGGAGTTCAGGTGGTTGGATGGGATTCCCTTAGAGTGTTACAGTCAGTGAAGATGCCATTTCCCATGCATGTCCCAAGAATCACTAATCCTCTTTTACTCTGTTGGGATGAGTCTTTTTTTGTTCCTATTCAGAGTGGTTACTAACTTCATATTCTCTCCTCTTGCTGTCATCTGCATTCGTGCTTCCCACCTGTTGTTGGCATGTCCTTTACCTTCTCTTTCCCTGCCACATCAACCTACATGCTGACTCATCATTGACTTTGAAGATGTGGAAGATGTCAAGTTTGTGATCAACTATGACTATCCAAACAGTTCAGAGGATTATGTGCACCGTATTGGCCGAACAGCCCGTAGCACCAACAAGGGCACTGCCTATACCTTCTTCACCCCAGGGAACCTAAAGCAGGCCAGAGAGCTGGTCAAAGTTCTGGAAGAGGCTAATCAGGCTATCAATCCAAAACTGATGCAGCTGGTGGACCACAGAGGAGGCGGCGGCGGAGGGGGTAAGGGTAAGTCCTGGAGTTTTCCAGGTACTGCCAAGGTATCTTTTCATGTTCATTGTGCCTTGTTTTTTAAATCCTGTGAAGGCTTTAAGTATGTTGCTTAATAACAAAAAACAGTGCTTAATACTTTTCATAGCCTCTTCTAAGTAAGAAAATGTGAAGTTTGTCATGATTGTCCTACTTTTGCAGCATAATACTTCTATAGATAATAGTCCAAAACTGACCTTTGAATTTTGAGGTACATGGTACATGGTCAAAATTAAGCTAAATTGTGGTTGCTTTTTAATAACCTTCAAAAAGCCTGGTAATAAATTATTAAGTTTTCACTGTTCCATATGGAGACATCAATAATTTTGCACCATTTTATGGTGGTAGAAACTAAGGTATAGCAGTTGGATCTACACAGTTGCAAAATACACTAGGATCTGGGCTTCCTGACTCCAGGTTTGGTATTGTAAGATTGTGTTTCTTGGTCATCCTCAAGTTAAAGGGCCTGAAAGAGTGAAAAGTTGAGTATCCTTTAATGTTTTCAATTTTTATGTTTGAGTATGATCCATTAAAGAATAAAATTATGGGTATATTTTTGAAGTACTGATTTGGAGGCTGGCCTAGCTAAAGATCAAGGAAACGTGTTATGTTGAATACTTTTGTACCCAGTAGAGTTTTTACATGAGGTTCTCTTTGGATCTATATCTGCATTAAAAAATTCCTTCTATCCTCCCTGCAGGAGGTCGTTCTCGATACCGGACCACTTCTTCAGCCAACAATCCCAATCTGATGTATCAGGATGAGTGTGACCGGAGGCTTCGAGGAGTCAAGGATGGTGGACGGAGAGATTCTACGAGCTATCGGGATCGTGGTGAAACCGATAGAGCTGGTTATGCTAATGGCAGTGGCTATGGAAGTCCAAATTCTGCCTTTGGAGCACAAGCAGGCCAATACACCTATGCTCAAGGCACCTATGGGGCAGCTGCTTATGGTACCAGTGGCTATACAGCCCAAGAATATGGTGCTGGCACTTACGGAGCTAGTAGCACCACCTCAACTGGGAGGAGTTCACAGAGTTCTAGCCAGCAGTTTAGTGGGATAGGCCGGTCTGGGCAGCAGCCACAGCCACTGATGTCACAACAGTTTGCACAGCCTCCAGGAGCTACCAATATGATAGGTTACATGGGGCAGACTGCCTACCAATACCCTCCTCCTCCCCCTCCCCCTCCTCCTTCACGTAAATGAAACCACTAATGTGGTAGTGACTTGTGCTGAGTTAATTACATTTAAAGGAACGCTATCTTTCCTTTTTTTCCCTCCTCTTCCCCTTTTCTTTTTTCTTTTTTATTTTTTACCTCCAACCATTGTGATTTGTCTTTTCATGCAGATTAGTTAGAATTCACTGCCAGATTTCTTCTGCCCACCAAAATGGTCCAGTCTCTAATACCAGAGTTTGTCAAAGTATATATATATATAGCCGACTGGAAGAGATTAATTTCTTCCCCCAACTTTTTGCATGTTGAGGATATTTGAGCTATTTTTCATCTTAAAAGAAAAAGTAAGATATTAGGCCCTTTTGTAGGTGCCCATTTTTTGTTGTCCAGAGTTGGGAGGGAGGGTGGGGGAAGGGTTGAATTGTTCTTTAGAAGATGGCATCTGTGCTTTAAATTGCTCTCATTACTGGGTTAGAAAACCAAGAGGGATTTCCCTGCACATTTTCTGTAATGCTTTTTAATGTTTCTCAAGCTGGATCAGGGTTCCTCGGGCCTGATGAGTTTTTAAGACAGTGCTTTAGCTGATTGCTTGTTAAGTACATTTGACAGTTAAAAAAAATTACTAATTGGTTTTGTTTCCCTTACACTCTGCTTCCCCCCCGCCCTCTCCCTGCTTTTGCCCTCCCAGTTTTGAAAAATAACCATTTTAGTGTCAGGTTAGAAATTGAAATGCTGATTCTGAGTTTTAAGTGTATCTTTTAAATTAAAAACCACAAGTGTTTATTGCAGTGGTTAAACTGTAGCATCTCAGCATCTGGATGGAAGTTGCCTATTCTCTGACCAGGGACCATCTGTGAAATTCATTTTCCAGCCAGACAGCTGCTGTGAGCAAGTGGATATAAATGCTCACTGGAAATTTACTTTATTAACCGGTTGAGTATGCATTCACATGCAGTGTAAAAAGCACCTTTAATTGTAAACAGAATATTCTCAAAATGGGCACATTTTCTTTTTGAACTCAGTATTTGCAGTAGAGAATAAAAGCAACTCTTTACCAGCTACTCTGCCCTTTTGGCCAAGTTAGCTTGAACAAAGAATCTTAAGGGTTTATTAAGAGCTCTTATTCTCTTCATACCCTGTTCTCTGCAGTGCTTTGTAACAGCTTCTGGATGCAAATTTTCTTCAGCATCCTTTTGCACTCAGTTTTTTACAGGTAGGTAGTGCTTAAGAAAAGTTATGGAGGACTAAAGCCTAAGTCCGTTTTACTTTTCCTCCATCTGAAGGTAGGTGAGTTCATCCTACTCATGGTAATACTGTTTTTCCTAGACCTCATAGAGCAGATGGGCCTGGGAGAAATACCTGAGGTTTCTGTTTCTGTTTTCCTTTTTAAATTCTTCAGGGAGAGAGAAGGGATGGTTTCTGAGGGGTTCTGAAAGTGTGATTCAATGTGCAACATACAGGTAGGTTGTCAGCATAAGCTGAAATATGTGCATGTAAAAACTTTGACACCCTTTATTTTCTACTTTCTTCTTCTCTTTTTGTTCCCCATTTTATAGAAGTTGAGGCCAGGGGAGGATGGTAGGCACAGAAAAAAATGTGGCAAAACTGCTCTGTGCTTTCAAACCAAAGTCCCCCCACCCCCACACGATTTATGTAAGCACTGGCAAGTCTGTTGTGGACATCTCTTCTACAATCAAATTCTGTGTTGGTTTTTTTGTTTTTTAGGGTTTTTTTTCTTTGAACATAGAGGTTCCACCACAGTGTTGTACTACTCTGTTGCAGCTCTGAAGAGCATCTGTTTGGGGGAAAGGTCTCTGGGCAAGTGAGCAGAATTTGGATTGCTTGCTTCCCTTTTTCCACCAGGGACATAGTAATCTTAAAATCAAAATAACAGCAAATTCCATTTCTCAAAAGCTATTGTGGCCTGAGCACAGCTGAAATCTAGCAGTTTCTTCTATAGAGCTCTAGGGTAACTCTTCTGCTTCCATGTCTGTCATTCTTAATTCAGGTTCTGTTGTTGATTCAGAACATGAGTAGAAGAATCCTCATTTGATGCTAGTTATTGCATTTGTGGTTGAAACTCACTTAGGGAAAGGGTTTCAATAGTAAGCTATGGGATACTTCTTCCTAATCCCTCCTTAACAATTCATTGTGCGGACTTCTCTTGTCTGAAAGGTTGGTGGCTTTTGCTTGGGATCAGTGCTCTCTGTTCATGTCCTTGCTGGTCTCTGAACACATTCCTGTTGTGTTATGACTTGAAAGATTTGTAGATGTGTGATGTTCAGGCAGAGGATGCTAAGAGCTATGTTACTATTCTTAGTTTGTAAATTGTCCTTTTGATACCATCTTGTTTTCTTTTGTAGGTATAAATAAAAACACTGTTGACAATAAGGTGTGAAGTTTTTATTGATTAAAAATTCTTCTCTGAATAGATCAATGGTACTCCTCTTAAAATAGTTTTTGTTTGCTTCCTAAGGTTGGGGGTGTTGGATTGACTACTCATATTAGCACCTAAAACTAAAAGAAAGGTGGGATTGATTGGTCTTAATCCAAGAATTTGAGTCACAAAATAAGGCAGGATACCTACTGGTAAGGGCTTGGGCATCTCTTTGCTCTTCAGTAAAATGGTGATTATGCTGATGATACCCACCTAGGGTGGTTATTGGGGTTGAGGTACTCAGTGCAGGGCTAAGTGTGAGCAAAAGTAAGACTCAAGCCAGTGTTTTACAGGTGAGGCATGAAACTGCTTAACTCCAGCCAAAGCTGGTGAATTAGATTTGCTTATGGCTTAAAGGAGTATGGAAGTGCAGTAACATTTCACACTTGAACGCTATCACTTTTCTATCTTGACCGCCTAAATTTGGTCTCTTTCTTGGAAAATGGAAATTACCACAAGAGCATATTCCTAATAATTCACCTGGTCTTCAGTTGAGGCATTCTTATACACAGAAGGACATCTTTCTAGATTGGGGTTCACTGTTGGCATGAGTCTCACCCCAGGGCCTTAACAATAGCTTATTTGACCCATTGATGAGTTAGGCACCTTAAGGTTTGTTCCTGTTGTCAGGCACCATTCCATGATGAGTATTTAAGGAGATCCTATTGATGAGAAGTTATAGATAGAATTAACATTTGATGTCATGGTTTTCAAGGAGAACAGTCAAAATGGTTTGTTCCATGTCCTTGTTAGGGTGTAGACCATCTCTGAGGGCCATCAAATTGGCATTGGAAGACTTAACTTCTTTCCTTTAAGGACTGGAAGAAAATGGAGGTGAAATTAGAATTTACCATACTGATGAAAGGACTGTTTTATAACTGCATAATCTTAGCACCTCAATGCCTAGCTCACAGTAGGTGTTTGAATGTTAAAGCTGAGAGGACACTTCCTCTCAGGCTGACTTGTGGACTCACTGTTATTGGCACCCTCCTACCTTAGGCCATGAACTTAGCAGTTGGCCTCTGTTCCACATTTCATACAGTCCATCATACTCTCAACCCTACTCCCAAAACCTCTGCCACATCTTTTCCACTGATAACCTCTTTCCTGGACAATTACAACTGCCCCATAACTAGTCTCCCTACTTTGGCTCATTTTTATCCTACACAGCAGCTGGTGGATTGGTTTTTTAAATGACCCCTCGAATGGCTGCCGTTGGCCATCAGAATATGTAAATCCCTTTCCCTGACGCTATGTGAGCTGGTCTTGTTTGACCTTGTATATCCAGGTTTATAGATTTTGACCACACTAGCCTATTTGCCCCACTGACCTACCATGCTGGTTCCTACCTTGGAGTTTGTTCATAAGCTCTGGAATGTTTTTCTCCTGTTTTCTTAACCAAGTATGTCAGAGGTCATCTCACAGCTCTCTTACCTGTACACATTTGGACAGTACACATAATACCCTGTGGGCCTGAACCTTTTTTTTTTTTTTTTTTTTACAGCTCTAATTGTTTTCCTGAAAATGTTTGTCTTCCCCCTATTAGAACATAAGCACCATGAGGGGCAGGTTTGGCTCTGTTCTCCATATTGCCTCAAATATTGAGTGGATGAGTAACTCTTGGGCCAGCGCCAACAGCTTTTTCCAGCACCTACCTTTGGTCACATACAAGTAGAAGAAGTCACAATAGAAGATGGTTTGTACTACTCCAGACACCACTGCGATTTGGTCATAGAAATTCTCAGTCTGGTACCGCCTGATCCAGTTAGCCAGGTAGAGTGCCCGGTACAGACCCAGGAAGAACAGGTAGTGAGTAGTGATGGTCTCAGCCTCTCCAGTCTTGCTAATCATGAAGAGCTGGGGTAGGATGGCCACTGACTCCAGGTAGATGGAGAAAGTCCAAAGGATCTAAGCCAAAGAGAAAAGTGGGCAGAAGAGGCTGACTGAGCAAGATGGGAAGGTGATGATCTCTTTTAAAAAATGTAATTAATCATGATATCTTTCCAACCTTATGTAAATACAAAAAAGTTTTATTTTTTAAGATTCAAGTATACAGTACGCGCTGCTTTTCTTTTTACAGTATAGCATGAACATTTCTATAGAACATAATTTTTAAGTGTTGCAGAGTTTTATTGTATAAACTTGCCATAAGTGAGCTGCAGTTTCTCAAAATGCAGTCCATAAACACCAACATCAGAATCTTCTGAGATGCTTGTTGCTCATGCATTCATGGGTCAGGACCCAGGCCTACTGAGTTAAAATCTCTGGGCCTGGACTGTGCTCGAGAGATCTGCTGATCACCTGTTGGACATAAGATCTCAACAGCCAGGAGTGAGATTGTGATCCTGCTTGGTTTATGAGCATCATGACTTATTTAGATGTGCCCATTTTCAAGTAGAGCATTGTGAAGAGCTTGTTGCCAATTTCTTCAAACTTAAACCTGAGCAACACATGAGTAATGTTCACCAAGGCAAGCCCAGATGTCATCAAGGGTCCAGAGGAAAGGAAGCTAGGGAACATGCTTATCTTTGGGATTAGTACGTTCAGTCCCTTCCCTTACCTCCAGTGGAGTGAAATTGTAGTTCTCAAGGAAGGAAAGGCCAATGACTGGGACCAGAAGAAACTCCAGGCGGAATGTGTCATTCTCACTGTCAAACGTTTTCCGAAATTTCCCATAGATCATGTACACTGTGACATAGGCACAGAGGAGAAAAACCACCTAAAAAGGGAGAGTGACATGGGAATCTATGAAGTCATTCCCTACCTTATTGGCTAGGCTTCAAAGCCTTCCAAAGGTGAAGAGGTGAAATGTATTTGCAATTTCTCTTGGCTCCAGTGGCCTAGAACCTGAAGTTGATGATACTTTTGTCAAGTAACTTCATGCTTCTCACTGGGACTGAATGCTACCACAAAGAGGCAAAGGTGCTTGGTTGTCCCGTCCATCTGTGGAGCATTAGGCCAAAAAACTGAATTGGCCTTTTTCAGGGGATTTAGCAGTGGCATGCCAGGGCTCTTGAAACAATTAAAAAACCTCAACTTCCTGGACATGTATCAGTGACTTGTGAGCATTCTTCCACAAGGACTAACATCCCTTGAGTTATTTCACCATTGTTCCTTCAGAAAAGCCCTTCTAATTACAGTAGCTGTCCTCCAGCATATAATGACTTACTTTAGATATGGCCTTCCACCTTCCGGGCCAGAGGTTCTCAAACTTGAGTGTGCATCAAAATCACACAGATGGGACTGGCCAGTTAGCTCAGTTGGTTAGAGCGCAGCTTTGTAACACCAAGATCACGGGTTCGGATCCCCATGCCGGCCAGCAACCCCCCGAAAAATCACACAGATGGCTTCTCCTTCCTCTGCCCCTTGAGTTTTTGATTTTGTAGGTCTGAGTGAGTCTGAGACTGCATTTCTAACAAGTTCCCAAGTGATGCTGATGCTGTTAGTGCAGGACCACACTGGCCTAGAGAACTTTTATTTGTATTTCAGGACTCAGATTAAGTTATCCCCTCAAAGAAGTCTTCTTTCACTACAATGAGGCACACATACTATCACCTTAGCCACATGTGAAAATATTCACTACAGCCCGTGATCACGTGTTCTGTAAGTGGTGGCGCACAAGTCTCTCTCCTACAAGAGAGGACTTACTGATGGCAGGTTCCACCTCTGAATCCCCAGCTCCTAACTCAGGGCCTGGTACAAAACAAATGCTGAATAAGTGAATGAATCGATAAAGTGGATCACTTTTTCATTTCACAAATGTGGAAACTGGCCTCTTTGAGATGGCATGACTTCACTCACCCATGCCAAGGACTGGGTCTGCCATCTCTGCCAGGAATGCTCAAGGTGGACCCTTGGGCAGAGAAATGAAATGAGCAGGTGATGTTTGATACTTGTTCAATTTAAGTAGACGGTGATTTCAAGACTTCAGACTCAAGTTCACACTGAATGAGTTCAACACCCCACAGCATCCTCCCTTCTACCAATCCTAGTAACGATGCACGGAATCCCAAAGGGACCTCTCTGATATGGGGGAAGAAGAAAGACAACTCACTTCAGTTAAATATTTTCTAGGTTCTACATATCACCTCACTTAATCTTTGCAATAGCTCTGCAAGATAGGTAGGATTCCCCCTATGGAGACCTTCCTTACAGAGTACTCAGCTGGCAGGCACACTATTGCTCTTTTCTCCCCTTGTTCTAGCCTAGAATGTGATGTGATAGTAAGAGCTCTAGAACCCATTTGTGACCCTGTGACAACGTTGAGGACAAATATCACATTCAGGACCAGCTACATGATTTGCCAGGCCTATTGCAAAATGAAAATGCAAGGCCTCTTGTTTAAAAACTAAGAATTAAAAAAAAAAAAAAATCGGCCAGTTAAAAACTAAGAATTTCAACAGGGCAACAGAACATTAAACCAAGCATGGGGCCCTTCTGAACACCTGCACAGGTTGCACACCATCAGTCCTCATCACAATAAAGATGGCGTGGCCGCAAGTTAGAAGGAGGTTAAGAACATCAATGGAGCTGCCATCCCAACCCTGGACTGCCTACCTCCAGGTTGCATGTTTTGAGAAAAAAATAAACCCTTATTAAAATCACTCTTATTTTAAGTCTGATATCAGCATCCAAGCACAGTTACACTCATTTTACTGACTGAAATATGGGCTCCTTCCACTAAGGTATGTTGTCTTAAAGAGCCAGGGTGGTTGGTTAAAAGCTCAGAAAATGCCTCACCCCTTCATAACCTAATAGTTTATGGCCCAGGGCCTGGGACATCAGAGTGGAACTGAGAGACACTTCTGTAAAACAGCGCCATGCTTCAAAGCAACAGCTTCCCTTCATAAAATTAAATCTCAACTGTTCACCTGCACCACCCATCCTCACCCGCTCTCTGTTGGCATCTCGACCAGCAGCGGGTGGCCCTCACCAGCTGAGCTCCTGCCATACTGGCCTTCTGTTTGTACATTGAATACACCAAGCTTGTTCCTGTCTCGGGGGTCTTTGCACCAGCTATTCCTTTAGCCTGGAAAGCTCTTCCTCTAATCTTCACATGGCTGATTCCTTGTGTCACTCACATCTCAGTTTACATGTCATTTCTTCAGAGAGGCCCTTCCTGACCACACTCCCTGAAGTAGCTCCCTTGTCATTTTCTATTGCATAACCCTATTTTTAAAACTTTTTTTATTGAAACATCAGTTAATATAGGATTTTAATGATCTCCATAGCCTTATCCCTCATCAAAGTTTTTTTTTGTTTGTTTTACTATGTCTCCCCCATTAGAATATAGGTGCCTTTATTCAGAGAGTAAGGGAAAAAAACAGGGCCGGCCCGGTGGCGCACTGCTACAGTGCGCCGCTTAGGAGCGCTGCGGCGCTCCCGCCAAGGGTTCGGATCCCACATACAGACTGGCCGCTCACTGGCTGAGCAAGGTGCGGGAGCAACGCCGAGGGTTGCGATCCCGTTGCCGGTCACGAAAAAAGACAAAAAGGAAAAAAAAAAAAGTATGTAGGTTCCATGAGAAGAGGAGTCTTGTATATCTGCAAGTGCTGACACAGTAGAGGCTTAAAAATATTTGTTGGATGGATGACCAAATAAGCTCTCTGAAAGTTCAGGGCACCATGTTGAATTTTGCTTATTTTTTAACCACTATCACGGCTAAACTTTATTGAATGTTGAATACATGGCAGGGTTTTTTTTGCATTTACATTTATTACCTCATTTAATTTTCACAACCAAACCCTTTGATGTAAGTACTAGTATTATCTTCATTTCACACATGAAGAAACTGAGGTACAAAGAGGCCAGAGGCCTTGCCCAAGCCCAGGTCAGCAGCAAAGCAGGGATTCAGACCCAGGTTGGCCTGACTCCACAGCCCAAGTCCCCAAGCAGACTGCTTCATCATTCGTGGGGGCTTGGCAGGCCCACCACCTCCACCACCCAACCCCCTCACCTTCATTACTGTGTTGTAGATGGAGATAAAGTTGGTGAACAGGTCCAGGTACCTGGTGGTGAAGACGAGAGCAAAAAGGATCTGGCTCTTCCCAGAGATGCCTGTGGCCAGAGGGGGAGAGCAGACAATGAGAACACAGTCTCCTGAGCCCACCCACACTCGAGAGGCGCAGGGTCTGGAGCTGGGGAGGCCTCCACGTGACAAAGACACCCTGGCTAGGGCACTGTCACTCCCCGAGGGCCTGGAAGCTCACCCCTTCCCATTAGATCACTTGAGTCGTTGTTCCTCTCATTAAGCTGTAATATGTCTCCCAGTCTCCAAATAAAGACACGAACACCGAGTTCCCAGTCCCCCTGGCGTGTGCCTGCCTCCTGCCTCGGCTTTTGCTCTGGGGAGGATGTCGGGGGTGGTGTGAGTCGAGCTTGGTGGGGGGTGTCGAGGCTCCTCTTTGCTCCACCCCCAGAGTTCCACTGACAATCCCCAAAGCTCTGTCTTTGGGAGAAGAACTCGCTGACTATACAAGGTGTTGATTCACCAGGGAGACCAGAGCAGGAGGAGGAAGGCTCAGCCCAGGGAGCATTCTATTTTGTTTTCCAAAATGTAAAGATTAAAGAAGACTTTTTCTTTTTCTTTTTTTCTAAAGATGACCGGTAAGGGGATCCTAATCCTTGACTTGGTGTTGTCAGCACCACGCTCAGCCAGTGAGCAAACCAGCCATCACTATATGGGATCCAAACCCGTGGCCTTGGTGTTATCAGCACCACACTCTCCCAAGTGAGCCACGGGCCGGCCCCTAAAGAAGCCTTTTCTAGTTATAAAAGTTATGCCTATTTTTATTCTTTGTAAAACAAAAACCAGACAATATATAAAGATGCAAAGAAAAGAGCATCCCAAAGCCTCAGCGTGCATCCTTCCAGATCTTTGTTGGTGCATGTGGACCCACATGACACATATGTGTATATGTACACATGACACCCACGGATGCACCTATATGACAGAAATGGGGTCACACTCTCCATGCTGCTTCTTGACCTGCTTTGGCCTCTTTCTTTTTAAGTTTTTATTATGAAAGAATTTTAGATTTACAGAAGACAGTACAGAGGGTTCCCATATACCCTTCCCCCAACGTCCGCTAATGTTAATATTGTACATACAATGGTACTTTATCAAAGTGAGGAAATTAACATTGGTTTAACACTACTGACTAGACTCTAGACTTTATTTCCATTTCATCAGTTTCCCCACTGCCATCCTGTTTTGTTCCTGGATCCAATCAAGGAATTGTGGTGCATTTTGTTGTCACGCTTCATAGTCGTCTTTGGCCACTTTTGTCACTTAAGGAGGTAGCTCCAGGGTGAGGTAGCCTCACCTTTCTTTCCTCTTCAGGCCCACACCAGGCACTTCGCCAAACCACTCCCCTCAATGACGCCCACATTTCTGCATCTGAAAGTCAACTGTCCTTCCTCCTCAGTCTCTCTAGTGGAGGGATCACTCCTCTGTCCTGAATCAGGCTGAAATGCTCTTGAATAAAGACCCAGATCCTTATCTGGCTCATAAGGTCCTGCCTGGCTGCTCCCCTCGCCTCCCCAACCCCACCTCTCCTCGCTGTCCCCCTCCAGCCATTGTTAATGGCCGAGGAGGAACACTGCTGAAGCACCTAACACTGTGGAGAGTGCTGGGTGCGTGTGTGGCATGCTTAGGGCAAGCCTGGGCCTCACACTGCTCACCTGTAAAATGGCTGTCCTGGGGCCGGCCCGGTGGCGCACTGCTACAGTGCGCCGCTTGGGAAGCGCGGCGGCGCTCCCGACTAGGGTTCGGATCCCACATACAGACCGGCCGCTCACTCGCTGAGCGAGGTGCGGGAGCAACACCGAGGGTTGCGATCCCGTAGCCGGTCCCGGTCCGGTGTGGGCGCGACACCGAGGGTTGCGATCAGGGTTGCGATCCGTTGCCGGTCACGAAAAAAGACAAAAAAAGGAAAAAAAAAAAAAAAAATGGCTGTCCTCACACACAGGGATGTGCAGGACTAATGTGAGGCAAGAATAGGATTCCATTAGAACGCAAGTCCCTCGTGGGGGGCCTGGCACTTGTGCGCTTGCCAGGGGTGAGGGAGCCCTCTGGGGTGAGGGGACTGGGAGGTATTACAGACCCAAGGCCAGCTCCGGCTGGGCTTGATGTGATGCCATCTCCCTGAGCCCTCACAGAGACCCTTTAGGACCGTCCAGGAGGCAGCCCTGGTGGGGACACTTAGCCGCCCCCCACACGGCTCTCGCCCCCGCCCCCACTTTGTCCTCAGCCTGCCAGGCCTCTGGGCTTCACTCACATTTTCTTTAGTGCTTTGGGAGCCCTGGTGATCTTGAGCACAATGGTTTTCACACTTGAAAACACTGAATAGTTTCCACCAAAGCAAGCTGCACATGGAGACAGAACATCTAGGAGAATATGAGCCTGTACCCGGCCGGAGGCCCTGAGGGGTCCAACAATCACACATGGAACCCACTGACCAGGGCAGCCCTCCCTCCTGTTTGACAAATGGGAAAATTGAGACCCAGGGTCACATAGCCGGTGAGTAGCAGAGAGAGAATGAAGCCCAAATCTCTGGCAGTTGGGGCTGGGTCAGTCAGGGTCACACCAGGGTCTGCTCCCTAGGGCTGGCGTCCAGGCACCTCACCTCTGACCCCTCTGTGCACGTCACTACCACCCAGCTGCCCTTTTTCTTTTCCTCTAACAAACTGTATCATTCACTCAGTTGCTGTGACTGCTGGTACTGCCGGTTTCCCAGGCTAGACGGTCAGCTCCCCCAGGGCAGGCTCTCTGGCATCTGGTGTTTTGTCAAAATCCCAGGTGCCTCGCATGTGCCTGGCAGAGAGCAGTTGGTAACTGCGCCCCTTCCCACTCACGGTTGCTCACCCTGCCCAGGGCCCTCAGTGCAAGCACAGGGACAGGTCCAAACTGATTCTCCCTCACCCCTCAGCCAGTGAGCTAACTGGCCATCACTATATGGGATCCAAACCCGTGGCCTTGGTGTTATCAGCACCGCACTCTCCCAAGTGAGCCACGGGCCGGCCCCTAAAGAAGCCTTTTCTAGTTATAAAAGTTATGCCTATTTTTATTCTTTGTAAAACAAAAACCAGACAATATATAAAGATGCAAAGAAAAGAGCATCCCAAAGCCTCAGCGTGCATCCTTCCAGATCTTTGTTGGTGCACGCGGACCCACATGACACATATGTGTATATGTACACATGACACCCACGGATGCACCTATATGACAGAAATGGGGTCACACTCTCCATGCTGCTTCTTGACCTGCTTTGGCCTCTTTCTTTTTAAGTTTTTTATTATGAAAGAATGAACCTGAAGAGCAGTGAGTGCCCGTCTCCCAGGAGACCCCAAACCCAAGTGACCTCCAGGTCTGAAACCACTCCCTCTGGAATGTCAACCACATCTGCACTCCCCCAGCCCCCTCCCACGCCTCCACCCCACCCCACTCTTTCTGCCTCCCCTCTTACAGCTTCCAGAGTGACCTGCTTCAGGTCCCCTCCTGAGCCCCCTCCCCTGCTCTCGAACCTCCCCGGCTCTCCAGTCCTGACTCCCTCGCCTGACAGAAAAGGCCCTTTCTCACCTGAGCCACTCTGTCCTGAACTCATCTTCCTGGCGGACCACCCCTCAATTGGCTGCTTGCTCTTCCTGGGGCACGTTTGCACTCCTCAGTGCCCCCCACACTCTTCCTGGGTTGACACCCTGCCCGCCATTCAAGACCAGCGCAGAGCCTTTCCCTCCATGGCTGCTCAGCTCCCAGGAGGAGCCTGTGCTCATCTCTGCAGGGCCTCACCCAGTGCCCAGCCCAGGGCCGGCACCTCCAGGACACCAGCCAACAAAAATGGCTGCAGGAGGTTTGGGCAGCCCCTGACCGCACTGGGTCTGTGTGGCAACCACCAGTCCAGCCTCGACACTTCTCCAAACCTCCAGCAGGGCAGCTGGACTGCTGGGTCAACAGCGGACCCCTCCAGCCCTGCCTGGGCTTCTGTTCAGGGGCAGCTCCATGCCCACCTGGGCCGGGCTGGTGCCCCTCCTGCCACATCACAGTGCCTGTGCCGCATGCAGGCCGCAGGCCTGGGACGGAAGAGGGCCCAGCCTGGGGGAAATCTGGGCGGAGCAGGGGAGGGTGCAGGAGGAAGGGAAGACCCCGGGGTTGGGCGCCACTTCCTGAGTGCCCACCCCCTCTCTCCTCCCTGGTGAAGGTGGAGGGAACGAGGAAGGTGACTGATGGGAGGGAAGGCGTGTCACCTCCTCCTCATCCCCTTCCTCTTCCAGCTAGCAGTGGCAAAGCCAAGTTGGGAGAGAGTGGTGGTGGGGTCAATGGAGGCACAAGTCCACCCTCCCCCCATAATCTCGGCACGTCCTCCTTCTTTGATATTGCACAGTACATTTATTTGGGAGCTGAGCTGTGCAAAAAGAGTCTCAAAGACCCCCTAGCCCAAGTCCCAACCCCGAGCAGACATTGGGGAGCCCCCGCCCTGCAGTCAGGAGGGCATGGAGCTGACCAGCGAGGGGGTTCCCCACCACCCTCCCTGTGCGCCCCTCACCCGTGCAGCACTTGGACCTCCAGATCTTCCCCAGGAGCAAGATCATGGCCAGGAGGTGGCTCAGGTCGCCGAGGATTCGGAACACGTTCATGGTCAGCGCGCCGGTCCTGCTCCCGCACCCGGCAAACTTCTAGCCGACTTTGCGGTGGGCGGGGCGGCTGCCACGTCCCCGGGCCTCCCGGTGCCCCCGGCCCCTGCCCGCGCCTCCGGCTCCGCGCGCTCCCAGCCCTCCGCCGCTCG